TATTCAGAGGGAGAGAGCAGTGTCTATTTCAAGGTAACCACAGAAAACATGTTTATTGATTGTCAAATTATTCACACAGACACTGAAAGCTCAGTTCCTCAAGAAAATGCCCAAGAAAGTTAATTTTCTGAGGTCTGGCTGGACCTGCTCATTAATTTAGTTAAATGAAGTGAGAGAGGGAGAATCAGAGTGAACCGAACGGGAAAAAAGCCCTTAAAACCATTTCCTGTGATGTGGGTAGTGTGCAGGAAAGTCTGAGGCTCAGTATATGTCTTAAGCTTTCTTGTTCACTGCTGTTTTTTTGCACTATGATTGCATAATTATCATATTTTACTCACGGTTGTTTTCCCAGACATGTCTCTTTTCTCTCTAGAACTGCACCTTCCTTCTCTCCTTGTTTCGCTTATGATTGCTGGGTCAGTAACTTGGTGGTGGATTGGGTCAGGGGGCGCAGTCTGGTTTTGTCCACCAGCTTTGGGCTGTGAAGGCTAATGCCTCCTGACACTCTCAGCTCCATCAGTCCTGGCAGCATCATTTTAGTAATGCAGAAGTCATCGGGGCCTGGGATTGCGTGAGGGCTCTCATCTGGAAACCCAAACAACCTTAACCTCATTGAATTCCTGTTGATGAATTCAAAAATTAATGAATGGATTAAGTTGCTACTTTGTCTCACTGTGTTAAACCATGTTGTTGGGGATCAATTTTGTACTATTTTTTATGAAACCTGTCAAAAATCTGGTTTTGTAAAAGAAATAAGGAAAATTCAAAAGCATTTGTTCATGTTACAGGCCATACGCTATTGAATGAGGTGAAAGGTTGTTGCATTTTCAGTTCAAATGCCAAAGTTTAATCTGAATTGTGAGGCCTCTTTAGCTGGTGTGCTGGTCTTTTCCAACCACACTCCACTTCCTTTATGGGCACTCAACTGAATTGTTGCTTAACCTGCGCAGTGACCCTGCCACATGCTATCTGCACCCTTCTACCCCAGATCCACCACTACACTATTCCCCTTGTGGGCAAGGGTTTTGCTATGCGTCAACCAGAGCCACTCACTTGCGAAGGGAAATCCATAAACCTTGTGCTCGGGCAGAGAAAAAAAAAGTCAGCACCAGTGCTTACTCATCTGTTAAAAACGGAGTGATCTGCAAAGTTTGTATGAGAGGGTTTTTGACGGTGCCCTGCTGCTTTGTCAGTGCAGCACATGCTGCAGGCACTGGCATCCCCTATTGCCTTCCAGGTCATTGGCCAGGCTCAGCAGGAGGTGGGCTTCTAGCCCCATGACACGTCCCTGATTCACAGCTGGATCCGTAACAAGGTATCATAGCAAATGAGTCGGTAAAACATCACTGGTTTGAAGAGCATGAAAAATTGTCATGATATCATTTGTAATTCCTGATCTGGACTCTGGTTAGAAGGAGAGAGAGAGAGACAGAGACAGCAACAGAGAGGGAGAGAGAGACCTGGTAATGAAGGGGTTTTATTCCTCTTTACCATCTCCACCAGTCTTGGTCCCCACATCCCTCCGCCACCCCACAGCCTGACCCCCAAACTGATGCCTGAGGGGGGAGATCCAAGCTAATGTAAAGAGGCAATAATTAAACATCTCGTGATTCTCAGCAAAGTGGCTTATAGGTGTTGCTCTCTTAACATGAGAGCTTTATGACACATTGTCCAGTTCTTGAATGTGTTTTTTTCATTTCATTACACATGACTTATGAACAGTCGTGATGTGTCAGATTGGGCCCGTCCCGGTGTGTTGTGGCGACGGTGGTGATGTTTAAAGAGACTGTCTTAAGTAAATTAGTAAGAGTTAGAGAAAGATTAGCCAGGTCTCAGAAATATAACAGCATTTTTTGCACTGTGTTGTTTGTAATTTCACGACTAAAATGTATTATTTTCCAGACAAAAAGAATGTTTTGTTTTACACCTAATAATGTCAATCTTTTATTGAAATAGCCATAAAAACAAATACAATAACTAACTTGTTTTTTATTTCATAAAATAGCTCTTTGTCAAATTGTGTCACCGCTATTAATCCACATATTCTTGAACATTTATCATTATTAAAAAGAAAAATTCTCAAAGAAATGATTAAAATTAAAAAAATAAAAAAGAATAAGCCAACAAAAAAAATCTATTATGTATTATGCAATAAAATTAGATACATAAACTCTTATGATCTTTAACCTTTCTATGTTTAGAGTACAGTTGGCTGTGACGCTGTGTGCAGGTTTGATGGATGCAAAGAATGGACAAACATCAGCTCCCTCTAAAACCACAATGGAGACCTTGGATCTAAATGTCATGGTTTCATAACGGATACACTGACATTTGTGTGATGGGATTTAGCCATGGGTTAATATAGCCATTGCTGGCACACTGCATTGATGTCCATCTCACTTGGGCTGTGAAGTCTATCTCACAATTTTTTTTTTTTTTGGTTGCCCTCACAGAGGTTTCTTTCAAAGGGATGAATTGGATTCTATGCTGGTTTAAACCAATTATTTTATCAGGAAAAAAAAACTGTTTGATATGTAGGTTTGTTTTATATGATGTTAATGTGCCTCAGGAGCTGTTCAGATCATTCTTTTTTTTGGTGAGTGTTGGGATGGGGGGTGGAGTGGGGTGGGGGGGCTGCTGCGGGAAGGCAGGCGATCAGCATTAAAATCAGAGCCATGTAAATCTAATCAATTATACAGTTTTTCAGATAAAATGTTGGTAAATCAAAACACATTTTCCAAAAGTCACAGTATAATGAGAAATTTAAATTGGAAACAGAAACCATTTGTTTATTATAAATGCCAGGGTGAGGTGGTGACTTGCCATCCATAAATTTTGTTATCCTTTCATATTCCTTTTATCTATGACTACAGCTTTGGCACTCGTTCAAGATTTTAATGAACCCAGACTTCTGAGGCATCAAGGCCTAGTGATGCATTGTCCATTTGGATGGGGGAATACAGAGGGGGACAAAGGCAAAAAAGCTTTCTCCTGACATAATATTTTATATTCTGTTGCCTTACAGGGGGGTCATTAGGTGATTGTAGCATTCAACAAAATAACAGATTGACAAGAATAAACACATATTCAGCATATATCTGGAATTAACTACCAGACTGACAAGCTAGTGTGTGTGTGTGTGTGTGTGTGTGTGTGTGCGCGTGTGCATGTGTGCATGTGTGTGTGCATGTGGCAAGGGGTGACTTGAATCAAAAAATAATTTTCTGTGCTTTATGAGGACACAGAGAACCCCCCTGCTCTGGCGCGACCTGGTGTCGGCTGCTTTCTTGGGCTCAGAGGTTCCTAGGGGAGACCAGAATGGAAGTTGAGCATCTTGCTGTGATCCAAAGAAAGTGTGCCAAATGCTATCAAAACTGGATTAGTAGACAACAATTGTGTTCGATGAACAGAAGGGGGAGGGAAAGAAGTAGTTTCCAAGTAACCCATGGATGGAATTTTCCAACTCTACTGCATTTTTATCTCATGTAGGAATGGATGCACACATAAAATGCCTTATTTTTATCTATTTATTTATTTATTTTAGAGGCGCGATCTGCGTTTAGAAATGCAGGTTTTCGTACCTGAGATTTATTTCAGATGTGTCGTGTATAAAAAAATAATTCACATATAGAGGTCATTTCAGATGTTGTCACCTGTGAGGATTAGTCACATTTCTGCCATTTGCGTTACTCTTTAAATGTGTTATCAGCCTTTAGGAAATAGACAAAACATCTGTTGAGAATATTATGTTATGTATAATTTCTTTTTTGAGGGGGTATTTTTTCTGCTCTCACCTGCAGTCAAGACAAAGCTGGTGCAATTTCTGTTGCAGTCTGGTACAGTATATAGATATCAAAGCTCAATTTGTAGCCATCTAAGGTAAGTTATATTTTCTACAGCCTCACAACTAGATCCACATTTAGATCGGTTTACATTTACACTGTTCAGCAGTCTGGTCTCTGATACTGTCAGAGTCCGTTTTAGCTGATGCTAAAGGAATCATGCATTGAACTACAATCAAGGCCTTGTGGGAGCTGTATGTATATGTGTAAAAATATAATTATCCAGAGGGTTGTTCACTGTAAACTGAAAGATGAGAAACATTAGTTTAAAAAAAAAAACAAAAACAAAAAAACAACAACAAACAACATTAAAAAAATGTGCCACCTATTTATCCAATAAAGTCGCCAGTGTTCAGGCCATAAATGTGCACTTATCTGTCATTGAATGAGTAAAAAAACTACATCTGCCCTTCATGGCAAAGGAATTTTTTTTGTTGTTTATTATTTTTGCTATAATGAGAAGGCAGATTTTTTCCCCCCAGTTAAAGAAGACCAAAAATGGTCACCGCGGACTTTAGACCTTTCCTCTTTTTATTCCCAAGGTCAGCCACCAGACACATTTGCCTCTGCAGCCTTCATAAAGTAGAGCCAGTCCAGCAGCACACTCACATTTAAATACAAACACAACCCCAATGGCTGTCCTCTGAATGCTGACATTTGGAGTAAATCCCCTGCTGACTTAATCATGGCAAATACTGCGTGTCATTTGTGCACCACACTCGGACCTGGCTGATGGTAGAAGTAATAATTCACCACTGCTGTGAGAGACAACTCCTGGGGTGACGTGCCTTGTGCTCAAAGCTCTCTTTCTTTTTATGTCTCCGTTGCAGGGCTGTTTCTGTCTCATAGAGCCTGACGCCAGCACAGACCCAATCTAAGACCCAAAAACTTTCTGTGTGACTTTTAGGTAATTAGTCTACATTTCTTGCATTATATTCTAGTGAAAAGTGCATTTTATAGCACATGTTGGCTAATGCCCTCCTGCTGTTCCTCCGACAGCTCCACACACTGTTTGTTCGCTGTTTACCTTTCCATGTGGCAGCTGTATTCCAGGTCCCTCCCCCTCTCCTAGCACTGACCAATCACGTGGCTCGAGCTGCACGTGGGAACTCCGGATTTAGCCAATCCTTGCTTGCTGTTTTTAGCGCGTCATCTGTAAATATGGCGGCGCACATAACCAGAGCAGTGAAACGACTTCTTCCACAGTAAGTCACTTAATGTTGTTTTTAAAAATCGCTTCTTCACGTGAATTTGCTTTGTCGCTTTTTGAAAACACCTCCGGCAAAGTTTAACGGCGCTAGTTTTGGTCGAGAAGTTTCCTGACATGTCACGACAGTCGCTGTTTGGTCAAATGTCACTTGGTTCAAACAGCACCTGACAGCAGTTGTTTCAGCGAATATATTTATTTGTCAACAACTTGTTTGTCCAAAACAACGAAGTGCACACCTCTCTGTAAAAGAATCACTGGAAATGTGCGCTCCATTGTGCTCCAATGGTTCTGAATGAAGGAGAGCTGATTATTTATGCTCAAAACAAAGAAACACATAACAGAGCCAGAGATTTTTTGTGTTACAATTTAAATGATGTTTCCCACTGCATTGTAGAGGAGCGCTTATTGAGGAAACTTGCTTTTATTAGACCTGGATTGTGGCTGGTTCTTGTACATGCTGAGACTCTGAAGCCCTTGAACACTATTTATCGCTATGCATTAGTATTCATCACTGGTGATAGTTATAATACTCATCATTGTGAACTCTATGCTCAGGCTGGGTGGCCCTGCCCTTCTGTAAGGCTTGATAATTGCTAGGTTTTGTTTATTTAGAAGGTTCTTACTGGTTCTGGACCCCGTCACATTACCTCAACACTGTATTTAAATTTGGGCCCTTGCCATACATGCTCAAGTGATTGGATCATACTGCAGGATGGAATATCTAGTTTTACTCAATGTGAACCTGCAATCTGGAACTGGATCTAAAGCTGGACTCATTTTTAGCCTTAGGACAATTCAGGTTTTTAATTTCATCGTATTTTACTTCCAACTGTTCTTATTTAGCTAATCCCTGTCTTATTAAACTTAACTATCCTAATTATTGTCTTTTTTTTTTAATGTGGATTTAAAAAAAAATTTATTTAGTCTAATATTTGTATTATTTCTTTTTTTCAGTTTTATTATTATTTATTGGTTTCCAAGTTTATTCTTTTATTTTCTTTTTCAGCTACATTACAAATGAAGCCTCTGTACCTCAGTGTACTCTGAATTTAACTAAAGCTTAAATGCATAAAAATGAATGAATGAATTAATGAATGAATATACATTGTAGGACTGTGTGATACTGGGGAAAAACTAACAATGCCATATTTTGTTTTTCTGCAATTTGCAATATTTTGTGACAGGAAAAAATACAGGAGTTTCCACAAAATTACACTATTTGAAAAGAATAACTCCTTCTAGACAAATGTGCGTGATTCTTTTTGTATGAGAGTACATCTCCATTGAAAATAAAAAGACAAAGCTGTTGGAACCTTTCCTCATATGGTTTAAGATTGGCAAACAAATTAGAAAAAAATAAATAACATAACATACTTTTTTTGCACAGCTTTCATATTTGACTTTGCAGTCATTATACAGACATTTTTAGTGCTGATTTAAATAGTCAGCCAGAATGCTTGTATTGTTGAAAGAAGAAAGAAACTAAACAAACAACCAATGAAAAAAACTGTTCTGTGGAAAGGCTGCACAATGGTGTATCTAGAAGGTTCTGTGTTCAAATCTGCCAGTCAGTCTTTCTGTGTGGAGTTTGAATGTTGGCCCTGTAACTGCAAGAGTTTTCTCAGAGTGCTAGGGCTTCCTTCCAAAGACATGATGGGTTAATTTGTGATACTAAATTGTCTTTAGGTATAAGTGTGAACACGGTTGCCTGTTTTTCTGTGCGTTAGCTTTGTGATAGACTGATGACCTGCAGAGGGTGCACCAAGCTTTCACCCTATGTCAGCTGCGATAGGGTCCAGCCCCTGCAG